GAGCCCTGTCCCTAGACCTTAAACCCTAATCCCTAAACCCTATTTACACCTACACATCCCCATGTGAGCTATAGTCTAAACTCCTAGTATCCCCCTTAATAACCCCTATAGTAGTCCCCTATAGTAATCCCCTATATGATCCCCCTTTAAGGAGTTTAGACTACAGCTGACATCAACTAAACCCCACAAACCCTAAACCCTAAACCCCTATACCCTAAACCCCTAAACCCTAAACCCCTAAACCCTAAACCCTGAACCCCTAAACCCTAAACCCTAAACCCTAAAAACTAAACGATCTTCTGGCATCGATGCCTTGAGCTCCCTGAAGATGGTCACGGCCTCTTCGGCTGTGCTCAGCGCCTCTGATGGTCGAGTTCCAATGGGATTTAGGGCTTGGGGATAGGGTTTAGGGTTTAGGGTTTAGGGTTTAGGGGTTAGGGGTTAGGGGTTTAGGGATCAGGGATGTATGGAAAGCAAAGTGGGGGTTACTATTTTATTGGGGATGATTAGAGGGCTGCTATAAGGATCCACTCTCTCATGCTCTGGTCTTCTTCGCATGGGCAATTCTCAGGAATAGCGGTTCCTGCTATGCATCCTTAGCACTTCAGTACCTTGCACTTGAGGGTTCCACCCTAAACCCTAAACCCTAAACCCTTGCCCCCTTGCCTCGGGGTACTCCTGCAGCTGGGTCTGAACTTGCCTTGCAAAGCTGGTAATCCTTTCGTGCTACGTAATATCAAACGCCCGCCCCCCACCCCTAATGTGAAATATGGTCTCCAACAGACCTGAAGTCTCTCATAGGGACTGATTTGATATCAGGCGTGGGGGGGGGGTCATTCGTGTGAGGGGATTAGATTGGTTTGACAATGGCCAAGTTTCTCAACATGATAACTCATTAATCTTCCTTGAAGGGAAGCTAGATCACTGCTTCAAAAAGCCTTCCATGGCTAATTCGGGGTCCCAACAAACTTCGACAAGCTACCAGATGCCCACAGGGGCAAGCCGAGTAGGCCGGACGTGCAGCAACTGTTTGGTAGTTTCCCAAAATAGGGGTACCTCAATACACTATACACATATAAACCCTAAACTACTGTAGTAGCGCTATTAAGGAAACCCCCAAGATGGCACCCCCAATTCTAGAAAACCCTAAACCCTAATCCCTAAACCCTATCTACCTAGCCCTATATGACCCCTAGATCACCCCCATATCCCCCTTTGAAGGTACCTCCAATTTTGGGAAACCTCTTTTTCTGCGCGGAGCGTGCAGTTTGCACTGGCGGCGCCGGGCGGGACGCGGCGGAAGCGAGATCTTGGAGACGGAGCGGCCTGGTCGGATGCGGGGCGGTTTAGGGTTTAGGGTTTAGGGTTTGGGGTTTAGGGGTTTAGGGTTTTTGCGTGTTGGCGTTGGGGGCCTGGACTTACCCATACTTACGCTTGGTTAGCTCGGAATGAAGCAATAGATCCTTATCATAGTCCCTATATAAACTGTTATAATAGTTTCCATGTTCTTTTGCCTTTTCAAGTTGAGCACACCTTGTGCCTTGCCCGGAGCCGCGGCCGCGTCTGACCGGTGAGGTCAGGATGCACTGGCGAAATCTGGTTGGATACAACGCAAATGGTCACCTTGAAACATGTGTATATCTGTCAGGGTCTGGGCCCGCGGTCTAGGACGTTAGGGCTTTCGGGTTCCAGAGTTTAGGATTTAGACATGCAGCATTTCAGAGGTCGGGGTCTGGGGCGCCGGGGCATTTGAACTCCGGAGCCCTTAATGCTCAACCCCAAACCTGGGCTCTGAATTCCGACCCTTCCCCTCTCAATCCTGAACGTTAACCCTTAAAGCTTTCCATGCTCCGTTCTTCAGCAGGCCTTTTGCAGCTTCGAGCCCGGCAGGCGCCTCAAACTTGTAGAAGACAGCAGACAGGTTGCGGACCTGAGGGTTTTAGTGTTTAGAGGTTTCTGATTTGAGAGTTAAGGGTTTAGTTGTTTAGGGAAATCAGCTGCGGGATAAGGGTGGCACGTCCACGCTCAGACGGGCACATGTTTTAATGGCATTACACGGACTGACTTGTGCACTTTTACCTTTACTGAGCCAGGTCTCCGAACGTTAGCATGTGCAAAGACTTGTGAAAGCCAGCAGTGCCAGTGTGGTCCTTTTCAGACAGTAAGGAATTCGCTTTGCTGAGAACCGAACTGGCAAGGGATCAGTCTTAGCGCAGGCCCATGCCAAGCCAAAGAATTGCTGAGGGCGGTAAGGCTGTGAGCCTTGCGCAAGGCTTTAGTAAGAGTCTCCAAAACAGCCAGGATTATCTAGGGTTTATAGGGCTAAGACTGCTATAACGGTCAAAGGGAACCGCAAAGAACATGGAAAATAAAATGGAAACTACGAATGTATAGGACTTGATAGGGATATATATCGGTTAGATGGGGACACAGGGGTTATATAGGGATACATACGGATGAGATAATGGAAGCTACTATATCATTGGTACTATTGGGATTATACCATAGAGTTCAGAAATTGGACAATTGTTTGTACCTCAGCTCCGGGGCTCATGGGCCTGCCAGGGCGCCTTGATCATGAATTTACAATTCCTAAGGAATGGGAAAGGAAATGGAAACTACTAATACGAGGGCTAGGATCATGTAGGGTTTTATAGGGATATGTAGGGGAGTTGAAGGGGAGTTGACGGGATGTCCACAAATACGGGGCCCCTACTAGGAACCTCGTGAAAAGGTGTCACCTAGTTGTTGAGATCCCCATGAAGAAACACCTTACAGCAATGTGGTTTGAGGGCATGGGCGTGGGCATGGGCGTGGGCATGTATACGTGTGGTGGCTCTGTGCCAAATTCATGAATCGACGATCTGATCTCACTGCCCAGCAAATTCAACAGCTCCCTTCAGGATAGAGGAACAAGAGTGCGTTGCCGAAGCCCTGCAACTCCCGGGCCTTCCGAGGATTTGTTTTCAAAAATGCGTCCCTTAGGGACGGCATGTAAAGGCATTACCTACATGGGAATTACAGCTGGGGAGCTAGGCAGAAGGATGAGCGCTGGTATAGAGCCATAACCAGGGGTGAAACTTTCCGCATGATCTACAAAATGCGACCTGATACTGCTTATAACAATATTTTATGCATGTTGTAACTTTCTTACTGGTAATCACTGGGGAGCTGCCTGAGATGTCAGCATGCCCAGACCCGGTTGCAAAGGCCCTGGCAAACGCGCATTCCAAAACAGCTGCTTAAAAGATTGTGCCCCTGGCAGCCTCAAAGAGATCCAACAAAGCTATCTGGCTTCTCTCAAGAGGTTCTCGAGTTCTTGATTTGCTGCGCTTCTCTGCACGCAACTCCCTGCAGCACGGACTTACCATCCGACTCCCCAAAAAGCATGCCAGGGGGGGCCAGCAGAGGCTCTTCTGAGCCATTGCGTGCATTTGAAGCCTGCCGGAGCTGAAATGCAAAATAAGGCGCTAGGAGGACTCGTCCTCCTCGGGGTGGTCGCAGCCGCAGCGCAGGATTCAGCAGCAGGAGCTCAGTGAACACCAGAGTTTCGATGCGAAAGCAGAAGGCCGCAGGTGCAAACTCACAAGTCTCCGTAGCGCCAACATACTCTGCAACCCTGCAACGGCAGAACCCCACAAGCTTGGGATCCGAAAGAAGCATCCGGTAAGTATGGACTGTTTGCATACATCTGAGGCTGGAATTGACTGCCAGGTTGCTTCTCCTTCACTTGTGCTTCTGACCTTTTGTGCGGCTCTCCTGCCGCCCATCTGATGAGTCTGCCTGCGCATCAAAGCTCTTCCCTACTCAAACCGCAACAAATCATTCTTCGAACGGTGGCCTTCTTCTTGGAAGGCTTTTTGCTGGCAGACGAATCCCCCTCCTTCCAGGCTGCTGGCGAAGCCCACCGTGCGCGTGGTTCCATGTGAGTCAACCCCATGTAGCTCATGCAGTGTCGGGAGTTATAGCTGTAGCTTGTCAAACTGCACCCACATCTGAAACAGACAGTGAAAATGCTTTATTGCCTACTACATCGAAAAGCATCCACACGATTCCCGATGCTGGCACAGGCATCGGCAACAAAACACACACAAGCAGTCCTGAAACCAGTGTATCTTTCCAAAGCTCAGGATCCCAGCCTTGTCCTCCTCACTGTCTGAGCCGTGTTTTCGCTTCTTTGCTTTGGAGGCTCCTGCAAGACCATGTCGAATGAGCCCACATGCTCCAGAACGCCGGAGTTTTTCGCTTGAGGCTATTGCTGGGTCCGGAATTAATGCATGGGATAAGGAAGCATGTTAAAGGTTGGGCCGTGGCACCTTCTTGACTTCTACTAGCCTTCACTGGGATCCTTATGACCACTGACATTCATGAATCATGGTGAGATCGGACTGTCATCCTTGCAGTTTCATCATCGCGCTGCGCCCTTGTTCACTGTGAGCTTGTCAACGGCGAGGCGGGACCAGTAGATCACACACAAAGGGATGATTGCTGGCACCACTTATGTAATAGTCAAGAGTATCCTCAAGTTAACACGTCGAAGGTGGTACCACGGAGATGAAAATGAAACCTACAACCTGCATGCTGCTCCTCTTGCTGTGGGATCCTCAGCCTTTTTGGCCTTGACCTTGTATCTTTCCTTGTCTTTCTCCTTTTCCCTTTCCTTCACCTTGTCTTTCGCCTTCTCGTTTTCCTTCTCTTTGTCATCTTCACCTTAAAGGCTGGAAACGCGGCAAATGTGCAACTTGGTTCCAGCGTCCGTACACTTACAAAGCCAAAAGCATTGTTCGACCAAGCCTCCGGAAGAGCACTCCGAGGGCACCTGCGTGGGGACATATTCGTCCTTAGCAGGCAATCAGTTGCGGTGAATGCGGCTGGTGACCGCAGACTCCGCTGGTTGGCATATACAGTTGGAAGCACCTGATGTTCAGAGACCTTTCCTGTTACCGCGATATTATTCCAAACGCATTGTTCGGGATGTCAGTCGCCCCTGGGGGTAATTCATCAAGAAACCCCCGCATGCCAGGCAAGCAACCTGGCTGAGCTCGGCTGCAGGCGACTCGGGCTGGGCTGCAGGCGAGCCGGGCTCTGTCCTTAACCGGCTTAGGGCTCATTTTTTAGATTTGGGTCTAGGGCTCTCGGTTTAGAATTTGTTGTTTTTCGTCCCTCCTGCGCGGCGACTCTGGTGATGCCTGGGACGCCGAGCAACCCCTCAGGGTACTGAGAGAATTGTCAGCATGCGCCAGACCCATCCGATGCTACTCCAAACCCGAAGATGATGCAAATTAGTCCGCAACGAGACGGTTGCATTGAAGAAGTTATTCTGGGCCGAGGGCTTTAATGTAATCCCTTCTGAGAATGTTGAGCCTCCGCAACTTACAAAATGTCCCTCAAGGGTACACCTTGGAAACCGCCACGGTGTGCCACTAGGGCTCGTCATTTGAGCCTTGATCGCTGCAAAGGCCGCCCGGACTTTCTCCAGGGACTTCTGCTCTTCCTCCCAGCAGACTGGTTAACCAATAATGGGAAACTATGAGGTCTGCATGCTGATGACGTGTCTGACGGGGCATTTTGGAAAGTGGTCATTTCGTCTTCATGGGCGCTCCTTTTGTAGCTTGGATCAGGTACTGATCCCCTTCCCGTAATCTTAGACCCCCCCACCCCCCCCTAATATGGAATACTCCCAATATATTATGATATACCACACTGGGGAGTATTTGATAGTAGGGGGGTGGGGCGTTTAATACTAGGGGGAGGGGAACCCTAAACCCTAAACCCTAAGAATAGGAGGGTCAGGTACTACTTTATCCACATGACAGGCAAAGATATGCCAAGCTTATCAAGATGGCAACGTATCCACGCGACGCCGGGGGCCTTCTTGTTATTATTACTATTATTATTACTACTATTATTATACTACTATTACCATACTACTATTACCCGTATTATAAACTATAAATAGTCATAACTATTACAACCATTATTACTATTATGGCTGGGGCAGCATTGTGTAAGACACGGAACCGGGGTCTCACATCAAGGAACAAAATCGTAGACACGCAAGGCAATCAAGCTGGGTCTCAGGCACCGGACCGCCCGCCATGTTTCTGTTGTGATGCACGAGGTTGAAGCTTTCAATCGCTTGGGTGTGGAACCGAATCAGGGGATTAGCGGCAAAGGCCTAGGCTTTACAATCGAGGTTTGAGGCTTGTCATGGTTAGAATGGACAGGATGGCCCAAATTCAAGTCCAAGCCAATGAGAACTAAGATTCATGACCCATGTGCTTCACGCAGTTCGCAAAAACGGTCCTGTCAGTGAGTAAGCCCACCCCTTGAGCAGCTTGGATTGGGAAATCTGCCGAGCGCGTGATAACCCATTTCTAGTCTTGTTATGACATGCTTGCGGCAGCCTTCACGACGATCTTCAAGGCTTGCTGCTTTTCCTCCCGATGATCAGCTGTCGTTGGTTGAGTCAAGTAGCAGCCTTTTTCCCTCATCAAATTCTACAACCAAAAGAACGGTATTCATCTTACTCTACTTTTTCCGACATTTGGGGACAGTAGTATCCCAAGCAACCACATGAACCGCGCCAAAAACCTAGAGGCCGGCCTTCTATTCAATTCAACACGTTATCGTTTTTTCCTCTTATCGTTTCCCATCCAATGACACAAATTTTAGAGACAATGGCTCCCGGGTGGATAATTGCGGGCTTTGGCTACAGTAGGCTATATAAGATCTACACACGGTCTCTAGTTTGGGCACGCGTCTCAGCAGAGGCCCTGCGCATGCCTGCATTCTGTGGAGATCCTAAATAGAGCGGCCTCCAAAAGAAAGCTTTAGGTAAGAAACCCACAACCCCCGAGTAACCCAAGCCTTCAATCGCTGCCTCTTTTAATCGCTGTTGTCGCTACTGTAGAATTTTCACTAAAAAGGGCATTGGCTCAAATACGAGGGTCCCGGAATCTTTTTCTCATCGTTTGCTTATGGCTTTGTTATCGTTTTGGTCACCTCATTCGCCGCTCCAAATCTGGATTCAACATGGTCAAAATTGGTAGATGGTGCGCACAGGGTCCATCTAAATAGTTTACACATTGAGATTTGGTCTGCGTGGGTTCCATATTAGGACAGATTAGGAGCTTCCGTCTGCATGGGGTCCATCTAAATAGGATACATCCTGAATTTCGGTCTGCATGGGGGTCCATCTAAGTAGGATACATCCTGAATTTCGGTCTGCATGGGGTCCATCTCAAAGGCTAAATTTGGAGCTTCGGTCGGAACTTTGGTCTACATGGAATCCATCTAAATCAGATGGATTAGGGGCCTCAGTCTGTGCGGAGTCCATATGCAAGCCCGTCGAAAATAACTACGTCATCGTGTTTTTATTCTTATCATTTCCCACGATCTGACACAGCCGGTAAATTGCGTCAGCTCGAAATAAAGCCTAATGAGGGGGGATTCTGTCCCAGCTCACATGACATGTCTCTAATGCTGCCCTGCCTGCTGGCACTTAGCTTTGTTCTGCTTCAGCTCTGCGATCTCCGTCTCGGCTGTAGCTAACTCCTTGTTTATCCTTAGGGCGAGGGATTCAACACTCGGATGGCGGAAGCATGGACATCCAAGATGAACTAGAGCATAGCAATCAAAGTTATAGGCAAGGATCCGGTCCAGGTCCTGAACAAGTTCTTCTTGCTTCGCGCGTGCCTCATGGATATAATGGGCAGGATGGCCAAGCTCATGTCCAAGCCAATGAGAATTAAGATTCAAAACCCGTCTTTTCCCCCCTGGGCAGCTTGGATTAGGAAACCTATCCAGCGCCTGAAACATCCTGAAACCCCCTTGTGGAAACAAAGCATTTAGGACATGCTTGTGGCAGCCTTGTCCACGATCTCCAGGGCTTGCTGCTTTTCCTCCCGATGGATCAGCTATCACTGGTGGAATCAAGTAGGAGCCATTTTTCCTCATCAAATACTACAACCAAAGAAAAGTATTCATCTTACTCTACTTTTTAGGACCTTTGGGGACTGTAGTATCCTAAGTAAACACATGATATGCCTTGAATGCTGCCCTGCCTGATCGCATTTAGCGTTGTTCTGCTTCAGCACTGCGATCTCCGTCTTGGCCGTAGCTAACTCCAACTTCATCCTTAGGGCGAGGGATTCAACACTCGGATGGCGGAAGCATGGAAATCCAAGATGAACTAGAGCATAGCAATTACAGGCAAGGATCTGCTCCAGGTCCTGAACAAGTTCTTCTTGCTTTGCGCGTGCCTCATGGATAGAATGGACAGGATGGCCCAAATTCAAGTCTAAGCCAATGAGAACTAAGATTCATGACCCATGTGCTTCACCCAGTTCGCAAAAGATGGTCCTGTGGGTAAGCCCAAACCCCCTGAGCAGCTTGGATTGGGAAATCTGCCGAGCGCGTGATAACCCATTTCTAGTCTTGTTATGACATGCTTGCGGCAGCCTTCACGACGATCTTCAAGGCTTGCTGCTTTTCCTCCCGATGGATCAGCTGTCGTTGGTTGAGTCAAGTAGGAGCCATTTTTCTTCATCAAATACTACAGCCAAAAGAACAGTGTTCATCTTACTCTACTTTTTCCGACATTTGGGGACAGTAGTATCCCAAGTAAACACATGACATTATATGCCTCTGCGATCTCCGTCTTGGCCGAAGCTAACTCCAACTTCATCCTTAGGGCGAGGGATGCAACACTCGGATGGCAGAAGCATGGAAATCCAAGATGAACTAGAGCATAGCAATTACAGGCAAGGATCTGCTCCAGGTCCTGAACAAGTTCGTCTTGCTTTGCGCGTGCCTCATGGATATAATGGGCAGGATGGCCAAGCTCATGTCCAAGCCAATGAGAATTAAGATTCATAACCCATGTGAAAAGATGATCCTGTTGGTAAGCCCAACCCCCTGAGCAGCTTGGATTAGGAAACCTATCCAGCGCCTGAAAACCCCTTTTTGCAAACAAAACAGTTATTGTCCACGATCTCCAAGGCTTGGCTTGCTGCTTTTCCTCCCGATGGATCAGCTATCACTGGTGGAATCAAGTAGGAGCCATTTTTCCTCATCAAATACTACGACCAAAAGGACAGGATTTATCCTACTCTATTTTTAAAGACATTTGGGGACTGTAGTAGCCCACGTAACTAAACACATGGTATGCCTTGATGACCGCCCCAAAGACTGCCCTGCCTGCTCGTATGCAGTTTCATTCTCGCCGCCTCATCAGGACAGATTATGCAAAGTCCAAGCTGGGAAGCAAATAACCCAATATAACCCCAATATATACCTTATTATAATATAGTAGTTTCCATTTTATTTTCCATTATCCCTATATAACCCCAATATATACCCTAGTATAAGAACGAAACGTGCCAAAGCAGGGGGCCTTTTTTTTACAATTGCTTGCAAGTAACTCAAGAAGCAGTAACTGAGCGCTGCGCGCGCAGACTGCAAGGCGGCCTCTGCTTTCTCGCCTGCAAGACCAACTTGCTGCTCTACATGTTGCTACACTCTCATGCAAGACGTGTCCCAAAATAGTTCTAAGCCAGGAACTTTGTCCGCGGAGCTCTGCGATCTTTTGTTCAGCTGTTTCCAGCTGCTCTCTAATCCTTGGGGTGAGGGCTTCAACACTCGGCTGTCAGAAGTGCCTCCGACCCCTGCTCCACAGCTTAGGCCTTTAGATTTGCGGTTCTGGGGCGTCACGGCCTACGTGAACAATCCCTTGTGCTTAGCCGGCAATCAGGGAACAGGGGACTACTAATTGCAGGGGTTGATGTCGTCACTACTTCCCTACGGAGCACCAGGTGGAAACACAAAAGGATGCAGAAGGCCCAGGTTACGATGTACTTGTTCTTTTACATACTATAGCATACTGTAGTAGACGATGGCTTGCAATTGTTGATCCCAAATATTGGATTAAGAAACGTTGATATACTACCCCAAAACAATGATAACCTTGCACAACCTACCTCAAAGTACATTTATCTACCTACCAGGATCTACAAGAATCTGCCACAGCCTACACAATCTACCAAAATCTACAGCGCGCAAACTGCCAAAAACTACGAGAAAAAAAAAAGAAAAAAAAACTACTTAAGACTACTTGTACTCAACAGTTGGATGAAAACGTCCAAAACCTGCTTCGCAAACACAAGTTCAAATCCGAATTAAAAATTTCTTCCTGCCCCCATTGCAGCACCCCGAAGCAAAACGATACAAGGTCGCCTGAACCCAAAAACAAGCACATGTGACACCCTGCTAAGCTGAAAGAAGAACTACAGAAATGCCTCAGTACACCAAAGGACCCCTGCTCCACACGGCTTACGGGTTTGGATTTGGAGTTCCGGGGTGTTTGTGTACTCGTCCACTCCCCAGTGATGTGTAGGGTTGAATGAAGGCGCAGGGTGTATATAGATGGGGATGAACAAATCTTTGGACTACTATTGTACAATCGATGGCAAGAATCAGGTCTTCGGCGCTTCTCGCCTCTGCAAGATCTCTTTGTAGCAGGTCTTCCGTCTTCCGTGCCTCCAGCAGATCCTTCTCTAGCTTTTCCTGGGCACGTCCAAAAACTAGGCGTCCCGATCATGAGGAAGTAAACCATACACTCTTAACATACAGGCTTTTTCCAGAGGACTAAGCCTTCAGGACTTGCAGCCAAAAGGGCTCGAGTTGCGCAAATACGTTTTTAATTGGGGAATTCGAAAGTGTGTTAATCCTAACAACAAGAAGAAATAGAAAAAAATAAAAACAACAATAGTAATCACAGTAATAATAATAGCCATAATAGTAATAGTAATAGTAATAGTAAGAATAATGGTAGGAATAATAGCTAATAGTTTTTGAATGATAGTAAGATTTTCATAATAGCAACTTACAGCAGAGTCGGCAGACCGGATGGCTGATAGTGGCTCCAGCTTTGGGCACTCTGGAGATCAAAATTAGGGGGCATATAGGGGTTATATAGGAGTTACATAGGGCTCTATAGGGTTTACGTATGGTTTACCAAAATTAGGGGGGGAATAGGGGTTATATAGGGCCATAGGGTTTAGGGTTTCCCAGAATTCGGAGTAGGGGTCCCCATAACAAGGGTTATATTATTTTGGGGTCTATACTGGGGTCCCCCTATGTAGGGAAATTACCATATGTGGAGATCCATTTCGGCATTTAGATTTGAGAAACTCCAACATTTGGTTTGAATCCAAGGTGCCAAGCTCGAGATCTGATCAAGATCTAGATCTGCAGGCCGTGCCCTGGGCGCGATCAACTTGAAGTGATGTCATGATGGCAGGCCACTCACTCCAACATGTGAGCTATAGTCTAAAGTCCGTAAAAGCGGTATAGAGTGAGTTATAAAAATGCGTCTTACAAGGGATTGTTAGTAAGGGGGATACTAGGCGCTAGACTACAGCTCATGTAAACCACCAACTGCGGGCAAGTGCGCTGGCGTCAGCGGCGCCCTTGATGCCTGCATGGTGCTCACAAGTTGCAGCTTCAGCATGCCTTGGGGTATGCGGGGGTTTCGCAACAGTTCAGGGGACCATTTTGGGGGTCCCACAAGAAGGACAATAGTCCTCCAATTATTGGGTTCAAGGGGCTCGGGAATCGAGGCCCCTGGGGCTGGCACCAAGCCTCCCGTCGTAAAGGGTCGCAGCCCCGTACATGCAGGCATGGGGCTACAGGGTGCTCATCCCAAGCTAGGCTCTCATCAAAAAACTGCCAGCTACAAAGCTTGAGGATGTGAGACCTGAATCCTGAGATATGTGACCGCTACTAAGCCATGGAGGTACAGCAAGATCCGGTAACACTGGACCAGAACATGACCGCTGCAAGCGCTGGACGTGACCTGATTTCCAAGTGAATGGTTGTACAGTCAACATGAAACGCTCAGTGGCCCTTGTAGCTAAGAGTGTCTTCTTCGGATGAGTTTCGACTTGTGTTGTTTTGGAATCCAGGGTGCGAAGGCCGAATATGGCAGCCCTAGACTCCTAGAACCCAGTCCACCAGAAAAATTCCGGGACTTCGCTTTGGGGCCAATGGCCCGGACGGCCAGCTCTAAGAGCAATAGAAGCCACGCAGGACATGTCCGGATGTCAGCCATCGTGCAAGTGCAAGTGCAAGTACCGTATCCCTAGTCCGAAAAAACTTAAACTGAGCTTCCATTTCATGTTCCAGTTCTTTTTCCATTTGATCCTCCATTCTTGGATGATAAAAACCTATTTAACCATGCGAACAGGCGGTCGTCGTGTTACCCTAAACTTAAACCCCATATATCCCCACATAATCCTGATATACCCCCCATATGAGCCATAGTCTAAACTCCTAGTATCCCCATTACTATCCCGTATAGTGATCCCTATATAATCCCCTATACAACCCCCTTTAAGGGGTTTAGACTACCTAAACCCTTTTTGCATCTGGGCTCGCACACAGCCAACCCTAAACTCCTAAACTCCTAAACCCTAAAGCCCTATAACCCTATAACTTAGGAGGACCCCCCACCCTGTAATAGTGGTATAATAGGAATATAAGAGGACCCGAATATAATCCCTATTATCCCTTATAGGAACTATTACTGGGTGGGGGGTCCACCTAACCTATAACCCTTAAACCCTGAAACCTTTGTGCCTGCTTGAAGCTGGCTGCCGCCCTTTTGCCTGTGCTGCTGGCGGCACTGCTGATGGCCTGCAGCGCTTGCAGGAACCTGGGCTCGAGGATGACACCCAGGTCCGGGGGGTTTGGGGGTTGGGATTTAGGGTTTAGGGGGTTTAGGGGCTGGGATTAGGGTTTAGGGGGTTTAGGGGTTGGGATTTAGGGTTTAGGGGGTTTAGGGGTTGGGATTTAGGGTTTAGGGGGTTTAGAGGTTGGGATTTAGGTTTAGGGTTGAAGATTTAGGGTTTTAGGGTCTCAGTATACACGCTCAAGGTCCCATAGTACAACCCTTCCTGGAAAGCTTAGTTACCTAAACTACCGACGATAATGGGCTACTTGATTTAACCCAACGTGATAGGAAATTTGAGGAAAGCTGGCCATAATAATGAAATTCTCCCTCCATCGGGACGACGTGGACCTATGCAATACATTGAACAAGGTTTTAATGTATTGGAAGGGTGGCGGCGTGGGGAGTCAGGAGGTTAAATTTCTACAGAAGTATCGTTTTGCTCGCCACGCGACTCCATGATTTCAATTCCAGCAGAAACCTGCAAGCTATGGATGCTGTTGTGGGGTTTTCGCTGGATTGGGTAGCTTCTTTTGCTGCCAGGTATGTGTCGGCAGTCTCATTGCAGGAAATCTCAGCACCTCCAGAAACCGTTGCAAATCAAGCCGAAGCGGGAGAGGGGAGGGCGCCATGAATGTATTACGTCAGTCCCTAAACCCTAAGCCCTTAAACCCTAAACTCCTAAAAGCGGAAACACTTAACCCTAAACCCCAACCTGTAATGTATTGGCGGAGGGGGAGACTGCTCGAATACATTCCCAAGCGCTAAGGTTGGCGATTCCTGAAGGCCGACATCTTTGGAGGCCATGGTTGTGATTATTATTTGTGTTATTCTTCTTATTAATACTATTACTAGTATAGGTATAACTCATAGTATAATGATTTCATGGGATTATATGTGGATAATGGAAAAGAAATTCGAAGCCAGTGTACATTCTGGAAATGAGTTTTGGAGGCGGACCCCTATCTCCGCTTCTTGAATTCCCTCCATCTTTGGGGGGAAGGAGCCAATGGCTCATCAGAAGTAGGGTCAAGCTGGACTTAAGATTTAGCGGCAGGCTCCCTGCCTGTCCAAGAGAGGAGCTTTTGGGAAGTGGCTAAGTGGCAGGGTTGCTGTGGGGACGTGCCTGCGATGCTTCAGAGAGGAAGAAAGTCCCCCCCGACCTATGCAGCTTGATGAGTCCAGGGCGTTCAAAAGCCAAGATCCGTACCTCAACTAGCCTGTCTAGGGTTTGCCACTGGCGCTCCGGACGAGATACCGCAAGAGCTTTCATCAGGAGAGTGTGCGAGAGCTCGCCAACATCCAAGTGCAGAATACGGTGTAGGGTTTAGAGTTTAAGGGTCTAGATTTTTGGGTTTATGGTTTTCTATCATCATTACTACTATTGTTGCTTGCTATTTTTGTTCTCCAGCACCAGCAATAGTAACAAGTACCCCTTATTTTCTTGTCTTAACGGGGGTGGGATTAGTATGGAACAAGGGAATACATCATAAAACTACTATGGCTGCATGCTATTCTCATTACCCAGCACCAAGACTAGCAACACGTACCCCCTCTTCCCTTGTCTTACTGGGGGTAGTATGGAATAAGGGAAAATATCATATAGGGTTTATATAACAATTGTATTCCCAAATCCGGACTGAGATTAATTAAATAAGAGCCTGGGAGTTATTCCCTTGTATTCTGTTGTATTGGCGGAGGGGGGACCTGCCAAATGCATTCATTACCAAGAGCCAAGCTCAAATCCTAACTTCCGCTGAAATAGTTGATGCCATTTGCGTCTCAGGCTGATACGCGGCAAAGCCGGCTATTCAACTGAATCCCTTTTTCGAAGGAGGACTCTCTGTTGAATCCCTAAACCCCAAACCACGTGATCTAAACTCCTAGCATCCTCCTTACAAAGCTCGATATAACCTCCTGCAAAACCCCTTTCCAGGAGTTTAGACTGTAGCTCATATGGCCTTCTGGCTTTCCAAATGCAATAATAGGAATAATAACAATAATAGTAACAATAATAGTAACAATGATAATAACAACAACAACAACAATAACAATAGATATACGAATACTAATAATCAGAATAATCATGATAATAATAACCGCAATAAAAACAATAGTAACAAGAACAATAATAACAATAATATATAATATGTCATATATTATAATAATGAATAGTAGTGAAGGTGAAGCTCAGGTCCAGACCCACCAAGTGCCGCTGGCGCCGCCTGAGGTGGCTCCGGATTCAGCTCAGGCTCCGGGTACGCCTCCTCCTTCACTGCTGCCACCTGGCCATTGTATAGTATATTATAGTATACCATAATATATAGTAAATTAAAATATATTATAGTATGGTATAGTATATTATAGTATATTATAGTATGTTGTATATTACAATTTCTAATATTATATATTAACATATATTATAATGTATTCTAGTATATGGTATATTATGATTATAATACTCTAGAAGGCATTCAGGGTTTTTGTCCTTGCGATGCCGGACTAAGTTTAGCCGTGCTTGCTAAAAAAATACCAAAGCGATTAGTCCGTTTCAGAGATATGATGGTTTACAAAAATGGGGGACCCCAATATAGACCCCAAAATACTATAATCCTTATTATGGGGACCCCCAATAAAGTACCCCTAATTTTGGGAAACCCTACACCCTAAATAGTAGTTTCCATTTTCTTTTCCACTATACAGAACCCCAATATAAACCCTTTACAACCCCTATAATAATAACTATAATCCCCCTAATTTTGGGAAACCCTCATATGATGGCCTAAACCCTAAACCCTAAACCCTAAATTTTGGGACACCCCCATATGATGGCCTAAACCCTAAACCCTAAACCCTAAATTTTGGGACACCCCCATATGGTGGTTTACAAAAAAAAGGCTGAGCGGGCCTTCGGCATGGCCTTCGGCCTTGCCTTCGGAGGAGCCTTCGATGGGGGTGGCCTTTGCTCAGGGGAAGATGGCGCTATTATATTAGACTTATAATATACTATATACTGTAATATACCATAATATATTATAATATACTATAATATACTACAATATACTTATAATATGCTATAATCTACTATAATATGCTATGATATACTTTTATATACAATAATATATTGCAAATATCCCCATCCGTTACATTACAATAGGAAGTGGCAAAAAAATGCGGGTTAACTCCTCTGAAGCCAAGTCGCGTTTTTTCAGCCGTTGGCTGCAGCTTGGGAGCCTTTGCCGCAGCTGCTTGGCCTTCTAGAGGCTTCCTGACAGAGATCGCTACTGCAAAGAGAATCCTCCACATCAAGATGGAAAGCCTAACCACGCCTGCTCGCTTTGCTGACAATCAGTGTCTTCGGCGGCGGCGGCTTCGCAGGCGGCACGCTCTTCGCCGCTTTCGCAGTCGGAGGGCAGAACTTCATGGCGGCGAGGTTCAAAGCAGCGCACGCGCGCAAAGTGTGGTTGAAGCCTAAGCTGGTCCTTTCCCATTTCAGAACCTGAGATTAAGTCAACGTAGGACTATGTTTGATCTAAATCGCAGTTAAGGTGAGGTCGGATGAGCTAGCTACAATTTGTCCAGAGGACTGTTCTACATCCAGTCTTTCATTATTTATGCGTGTTGGAGACTCTGGCTTCCCTACAAGTAACATCTTGGAATCTGCTCTTGTTCTGTGCTCCTGTATGCTGAAATCTGCTCTTTACTGAGAGGCCTTCGGCACTGGAGGGGACATGCCCTATTTGACCCTGCTTGCGCTTGCAACGTCTGCTGCACATGTGGAATTGTTCTGCGACATAGACTTGAACAATGCATCACTCCGGCATGCACTGAACACCATGACCATGTCATGCTCAGACGCTGTGGCATTGGATCTTGCACTCTTGGCCAGCCGCAGGACGGTGTTGAGGCGCACATACGCCTATGTCAGTGCGTGAAGAAGGCGCCGCCGGTTACTGGTTTCACTTGTGTGGTTGGCGCTACAAGCAAGACACCAGCCTCATGACTGGTTTTCGATATCCTGATCCAGAACCCTGTGAAACCCTTGTGCAGCCCTGGATCCTTAGAGATTGGAGGTAGAAGGTTTCCAGGATTCATGTAGGCGTATTGGATAATAGGGTATATATGGGTCATAGAAAGGTATAGAGGAACGTAATAGAGAGTCAAATGGACAAGCACATGGAAATCGGATTTTGACCGGGATTGTTTGCAGCGATATGGACCCAATGAAGGAGAATCAAATTGAAAAGCAAATACATTAGGAAATGAACCTGGGCATTTACAGAGATACCTACCCTCAACCTAAACTTCCCTAAACCGTGAACCTAAAGCCCAAACCCTCACCCCTAAACCCACAAGGAGTGGTGGGCTCAAAACCGGCAGCCTGCCCGCTGCGGTCCCCGATGTCCTCCAGGATCCATATTGCCTCAAAGACCACTAGCGCTTATGGCTTAGGAGTTTGGAGTTGAATGTTTCTATCGGGATATCACCCCAATAACTGAGAATCAAATGGAAAAGCCGATTGAATCAGCAAGTGTCAAGGGTTTGTGGGGATATATGTGTGGCTTTCTGTCTTCTGTACGCCTAGGCGACCTCTCGCAGCGATGAATATCATGTTAGGCTGCAGTTATCGGGGAACTTCCCTTCTCACCAGGTCTGGGACAAAACGTTGGGCTGCAAGCACATGTCACGAACAACCCAAGACTCAGATACAAGCAGGCACGCGCCCTACAAGAAGATCCTTGCAGATGCCGTGTGCCTACATACGGCCCATGGCTGACACGATCAGAACATCCTTGCGTGGGGAATCCTAGTGCATTCCATATATATATATATACATATATATGTGTGCGTGTATAGATATTCGCAATGACAGCGGTGAGAACTCCATCCGAACCAAGGTTTGCCTGATGCTCTCTAGGCCGGGTGGCAGGACACAATATAAAGCAAGCCTGTGTGGACAACGTGAACCGCAGGTTTACCTGTTTTCATTATTCTTCCTTAGTGTACCCATACCACCGCCCTTACACTGAGACCACCCTCAGCAGCCAGGGAAGTAGGTAATCCCTTTCGTCATGTCTTTCTGTCTTGCTTTCTTATTTTCCTTCTGTCTTTGCGTTCTTTCGCCCACTGGGTCGTCAAATCCAAAGCTGGTGTCTTAGGCACAGGAACCTTGTCAGTGGAGGTCAAAACCACCCGGCACCAAAAAAGGCCCAGCGTAAACATGGCGCGGGGGACCTGACTCTCGCTCGCTCTCTCTCTCTCTCTCTCTATTCGCTTTGCGTTGCATTGTGTTGTGGGGATGAGCGATTTCCCCAGCCCCTCCAGGCGCTTACACCACAACCCGGCAGCACGTCCCGTCCACAGGTGATACGTAAGACGGATACTGCACGGAGAACCAATGAGCAAGTCTCATCTCAGACAACACCTGGACAAACAAGTCGAACATGGTCAAACAAGGATTATGCCAACACGGTTGCTTCCCTCCCTATATCTAAAGATTGAGAAGCCGACCGATCGGGACCTCAAACACCGCAATAGCACCAGGCCTCGTCCCCAAACAACCGTACCACTATAAAACTCTTGCCTGCTAGCGTTTCCTTTCTCCATACTTTTATAGGACTACGCAAGGTTGCGTTTAATTTGGGCAAGATCCCTTTGCTGGCTTGATTCTCAGAGGCGCTCGTTGTGGGAGCTCAGCAGAGGTCATTGGTTCCACCTCTCTCACTGTTGCCTCATTGTCCACGCTTTCGCTCAAGAAGATCTCCACAAGTTTGCTGCAGGATGCTCATGAAGGTCAAGGTCTTCCTTTCTTGCCAACATGGCTCGAGACCGCCAACTCTCAAGCAAGGGTGTGCCCCTGGACCATGCATCACCGTGGGGGTCCCTGCTTCTCCATCCGCCGCCGGCACCACCACCGCCGACCGCTGCTGCTGCAGTCCCTCTAGCAGTGTCTGCGGTCTCCACTGCATGGCTCATAGGGCCGTGTAGCCAGTTGAAATATTCACATGTACCCCGACTCTCTCTCTCTCAGGGTCTTCTTCTTCTTCTGTCTGTCTCTCTGTCTCAGGCATTAAGGACAAGAAGTTTTTAAGCTCCACCCTAAGCCAAAGCCTAAATTAACCTGACCTCAAAGCCCTGAAGCCTCGACCCTGAGGGACCTCCTGGGCAGCCTGGAGAGCTTCCGGGTACTGCTTGCAGGCACACCGCAGGGCGGCCTGGGTGCAACTTGTTGGTTGCTGGGGCTGTATTGGGAGAATGGAAAATGAAATTGAAACTACTATTTAGGGTTTAGGGTTTTAGGTTTGGGGCTTGTAGGGAAGGGAAGAACGGAGAAGATCATGGAATTTACTTTGGAATGATTTAGGGCTTGGGGATGTAAAAAGAAAACGGGAACTGCTATATTCTTAGGAATTCTGTAGATATGGGCTACGAGCGGACTCCATTCCCAATAACCAGCAAAACTGAGGCGATTCCCTGCTGCTTAATTCGTAATGATCCATGAGTTTGCAGGGGTTATGGCCATCTGCGGATCACGAGCCCATACAAGTACCTGAAGAAGAATATGAGGCCTTGTTGGAAAATAAGCGCAAGTCCAGGGCTAAATAACACCGTGAGTAATCCTGGGGTCCCCATGAACGGTGTGTGTGCCCTTGACATGACACGCCATCACCCTGTAGGTAACCCCCTCCCCTATGGCATGCCGCCCCCATGGCATCATTACCTCGACCACTTGTTCAGTACAAAGCGTGGTATTGTAAACGCCCTTTTTATCCCATTTACTGCTGATTCCATTGAAAGAACTCAGATGTATGGGCTTATTTTGGGAATGACTTCCGGAATTCATTCCGTAGAGACGGTAAGCTATGATTTGAGGCTGTCTTGCGTACCAAAAAAGGAGTGCTGTGGGTACGTCTAAACGGCAAAGACCAGAGACATGTCCAATCTGGGTAGATTTCGGTTTTGCCTTGCGCTAATTCCAGATGCAGATTCCACAAAGAGATGCATCACGAGGACTTATTTCCCTATGAGTGAGCATACGTACTGCATACAGCTAACTAGGGAGCATGCTTTAATTTCAGGGATGTACTGACCAAGAACACACCACGACGGTGGAGGGTTAGAAGGGCTCATCTTGGAGATATTGAACCGGAATACTGCAGAATCAACTGGAAAAGAAAATGGAAGATGAAGTTGAAACTACTCTTTGGGGTTTATGGCTTAAGGAGATGAAAGCACAGACAAGGAACTGGAAACTACGGTAAATAACAATCAAGCGGAGGAAGATGGCCATGGAGTTCAATCATGGAGAAGTTTGGGGGGCTTCCCAAGATTAGGGGTACCTTTGTGGGGTCCCCATAGTAAGGATAATAGTATTTTTTGGGGGTGGGGTCCCATAATAAGGATTAAAGTATTTTGGGGTCTGTATTTACTCCGCACTATTTTGGAAAACTACCACTGAGAGAACTTCACCCACGTGGGTGAATTTGTTGTTGGGACCTAGTGCATGAAAATTCCTCATTAAAGCGGGAGACTCTGGGAGTTACGGCTATGTTTCCTTACCAACGGCTGCGAACAAATAAATAGGCTTACGTGCACTTGTTGGCTACAAGATGTATGGATTGCAGAATTATGCTACAATCTATGAATCCTAGCTTATTCTAGCTATGCATGCCTTGGAAATGGCCATCCCAGTCGGACTCCGACTTACCCTCCGAGAAACTAACATGGAAACCCAAAAAGGGCCGTATAAAGATTCCTGTCCCTTTAAAAAGGGGCTATATGGGTTTCCATGTTAGTTTGGGGGAGTGTAATTTAAATGCCTATTCAAGATAAACAAACGTGTCTTACGTGTGTTTACTTCATCTAAATAGGCAGCACTCTGGAATTGTTCCACGAGAAAGGGCCCAATTCCATACGGAAAAACACCATCAGACCAGACGACAGGGAACCATAAGTAGTTTCCATCTTATTCTCCATTATCCCAATATAACCACAATACTATCCAAATGTAAACCCGTTTGGCATCTGGGCTCGCACACAGCCAGAAATGTAAATCCTAAAACCTTAAACCCTAAACCTACCAATATAGGGTAACGGCGGCCCTTCCTGCACAATTAGATAGGCACCATGACCATGGGTTGGGAGGGGGAATCGGGCTTTTCGACGAGGAAGCCATGTGAGCTGTAGTCGAAACTCCTTAAAGGGGGGTTATAGAGGATTATGTAGGGACTACTATAGGGCTATAGGGGTTACTAAGGGGGATACTAGGAGTTTAGACATAAGGGGGATACTAGGAGTTTAGACTGTAGCTCATGTCGGGCTTCGAAGATCTCCTTCAGGGTCCGTACTAGAGGGCATACTTCTAACCTCGGAGCAAAGAATGCCTCTTAAAGTCCTTCCAGCGAGGACCATAGTTGATGCGCAAAAATGGTAAAGGCGCCAAACAATGTCCTTGACTTCCAATGGTGAAGGCGCCAAGCAATGTCCTTAACCTCCAATCGTTTGACCTTGTGACTTCTCCATGTCCTGGGTCCTTTCTTGATGTCTTGAGAATAAGAATCACATCACATCATCTTGGTTGAATATAAGGATGCCCCTCATTTCGGTGCATTTCCCACATTAGTGATGAACGAAGAAAAACCCTTTTTGGGGTACCCAGTCGCATGTATTTCTGGGTGGGGATGCCTAGCAAGGATTCCATAAATCCCTGCCGACATTCGAAGGCCCCAAATCCTGAAACCAGAGCCCTATATGCTATATGTGATATATTGGCTTGTAATCACTTCCGCCAAATGTTAAAACGGGTTCCCCAAAGCTCCAAAATCCGAAATGGATCAAGACTGCACTTAGTAATAGCATTACTCTTAAGGAGTAGGGGTCGATTGTTTTTGAATGGCTTTTCCAGGACTTCATACAAATCTGAATGCGCTTCTAATTAGTTGAATTACGAGTTTAAGCCGTTTTGAACTAGATTGTAATCAGATCTTAATTAGATTTCAGTTGACTTCAAATAGAACCGAATTAGATGACAACTGTTTTTGATTTTTCTAATTAGATTTCAATTCATCTGAATTTGAGTTCAACGAGACTTTGATTGATGTGACTACGTTTTCTATATAGATCCTTTTTCATGGCGCTATGTAGACTTCATTGTTGAATTTGAGGTCAACTGAGTTTATTACGATGTTGATGAGATTTAATCGCTTTTTCGGCTTATTCCATTTTTACTGGAACTTTCATCGAAATTCGAGAAGGTTTCACTTCTATCCAAGACCGTTCTCCTATTCGATAATCCTCCTATCTTCGAGTCCTACGATAAATACCCCTCCCAAAACAAACTAATTTGAAAATCGGGTTGGCATACTTAAAATAGGGGAGAAGCCGTTTAACATTAGGGGAGAGGATGAGTAGTAGCTTCCGTTCCCCCCATTCCCAATTGCACCGCAAAGCCGGAGCATGCTCAGGCACCGACTACCGAGTGCAGCATCACAGCCTCCCAAGGCATATCCTGGCACAAAAGAGTAGGTCATGGGGTTGAAGGTTTACGGCTTTGGCTTGGGGCTTCAGGCTGGTTTCGCAGGTGAATAGCTAGAGCAGGTGAAGGGCCTGCGGTTTGGGGCTCAGGCTCTCCGAGAAGGTGCAACCAAAGGTGGATCCTGCCATCCATAAAACACGGATCCTCACGTTCGGCGATGCAAGTTCCAGGGATGTGAGAAGCGCACAGCCAGAAAAGACTTCAATACGCGCTTGTGCGCGCCCTAGCACAAGGCACACACGCAGTCACTTACAATACAGTTCCAGCAGTCTAGGATATAATATTTGGTGGCTACTATACAAGAATTCATGCAGTGTAATAATCCCAAGTTGAATATTCGCACATGCCACCGGCAGAAACCACGGAACCTAGAGATCTATAAAAATGTGGGGACATCGCAACATTGATTTGTTGCCCTCACTGGAATTTCAACTGATGCTGCTGCAGCAGCCGCTTCCTCCTGAGAATTCTTCACAGCCACAGAATCAGCTTTAGTCGATGGCGCCCCTACTGGCCCATGCGTTTCAACTAGTGCGGCACTCTGTGGGGGAAGGGGGGCTGATTAAGCACGTGTTCGTCTTACCACGAACACTACCACTGTCACGGCCACTGGTGCTAACACCACCACCGCGGCTGCCAACGCCACTAACTACGATTGCTACTGCTGCTGCTATTGCTGCGACGGCTG